ACTCTTTTTATCTGTCAAGGGCATTCTCACAATTCGTCTCTAAAACCACATCTACACAGCTTCCGAATAATTTTTTTTCCACTAATCTTCCAACTGTCCATGATTTACTTCAAATTATCAAGATAGAATTTATAAAGCTTTTAAGAATTTTCTTTCTCGTCTCAATCGAAAAGAAATATTGCATAAAATATAAATTTTCTAACATGCTGCCTTAGTTTGAGCTATTCTATATTTAACTTCTACATTTAACAAACTGTACTAGAGGACATCAGGACGTAATGCCTGGACGGGATTAAAAGAGATTATTCCAGGACTTCATATACCGTGTGCTGCTGACCTGAAAGAAATCTTTACTTCTTCCTTCATGAAAATGTTCACACTGTTCATTCTATTACAAAAAAAAAAAAAAAACATACACCCTAAAGCAGATCCCAGCCAAAGACATTCGACTTGGGAGGCGTACGTCTCTTAAATATGTCCATCAAACTTTCTCGGTCCTAAGCAACGCCTACTGTGGGAATAACTATCCCTACCAATTCTTTCTCTTCCCCCCCCCCCCCCACCCCCTTTCCCCCTCTACCACAAACATAATGTGCTCTTTCACTTTTAACATTTGGTCACTTGCACTGTGTAGATTCATGATATCTTTCCGTGCCTTTCCTACGTATGTAGGACTAGAGCTATGTTTTATAGACCAATCGGCACTTGGTCGGGTATGTAGTCGGCATCTCGTCGGTGCTTTTACTTCCCAGAACTGTACCTAGGACCCATTCAAGGACGGGTTGACCTGAAGCCGAGGTCATGCTTAAAAAAAGGATCCGAACTTACGACCTCCGGATCGCAGGCGAGCATTTAGCTCATACACCATGGTAGATTATATTGTGAAAAGATTACCACTAGGGAAAAAACGCAATCAGGATTTTCATCATGGTTACTTCTATACTTTATCTTCTCCAGTGAAACCCTCTGCCAGTAAAAGAGTTAATAAAACCTGCTTATTATACCCGTATGCCTTTTATATTCGAGAGAGGGTAACAACTACAGCATGATTATTACAAATACAGTAGAATAATATACGACGAATACTTATGAAAACTTATTTGGAAGCTTGCTTGCTGTACCCCACCAGGACATAACACAAGCGATAAACACCCGGTGACACAAAGTGCCATCATGCGGATGAGGATCACCAGTAGATCCACAATTGTGGCCAAGTTATTTTAAGGGCCAGAGTGGGGCTTCAAATAACGAAACCCTGCATCCCACAAGGAGACGACATATATAATTGTTTGGAAGCTACAGAGATGTGGGTTTTTAGACGAATGATGCGATTACCCTGGACATATAAAAAGAATAATGAAGATGTTAAAAAAAAAAAAAAAAAAACTCCCGAATAAAACTGATAGCCCACAACAAAAAGAGGCAATATGCCTTCTTTGGTCGTGTGATGAGACGGAGAAGACTGGAGCACATAGTGATAGTTTACAAGTTGTAAGGGAGGAGAGGCAGAGGGAGACCCAGAAAACAGATGCTAGACAGTTAAACATCATGGCATGGAGGATCATCTGTGTCAGAGTTGACAAAGTACACGAGACAGAAGGTTGTGGATAGTCATGACAACCAGCACCACGCGTTATGGACTATCAGAAGAAGAAGTGTGTATGATAGTCGACATAGAAGGCGCAGCCTTTGTGAACAATGTTTCGCAATCCTTAAATACTCTTTAGAAAGCAGCATTCAATTGACTAGTAAAACTACCCAGACACAAATATAACCTCACATTGTTTTTCAAAGTACTGACGAGATATAAATCTATGACACACGATTTAATTTTTCGTCTTCTTCTCTTCTGTCGTCTCACTAAAATTGGGTTGTAGCCTAGTGTCGTGGTTTTCTGTCTTTATCTTTGGCTTCTTGGACGAGTGACGTTTAACTCGACCAGGACCGCACTACGAGGGACACACACCCGGTGTTACAAAGTGCCACCATTCGGATAAGAATCCCCATCCCCTTTATCCTCCGGGCACAAGACCCAGAAACCCCATTCTACCTTCAGGTTATATAAGGGCC